ATACATTTGCTCAACTTCTCCAAGAAACCTTCATTCCTCATTCTGAGCCCGGCAATGCTTCAATGGAAGCAGATATTGGCGAATACCTTATATCTATGTCACTCCCGCCGAAGTCAAGTATATCTTGTACCGAAACACAAAGCTCCTGGTTTTAACTTGATAACATCCCAAATTCTCCAACAACCCCTAAAAATGCCATTATATTCCTCACATACCTCTACAATTGTATACTCCGCACTACCCATTTTTCCTTACTTTGGAAATATTCTATCATCTTCCCCTTCCTGAAAACTGGCTAACCAGTTCAAAAACCCTCATCTTATCGACCAATTAGTTTACTTCCCATCATGTCCAAAGTATTTGAAAAAATTCTCCTTAAAAGACTATTGCCATAATTAAAGTCCAACCTCATTCCCGATCATCAGTTTGGCTACCGCCCCACCATTCCACAGTGCAGCAGGTGTTTCGTGTTGTTGACCGTACATCCTGCTCCCTCGATCACAAAGAATATTGTACGGGAGCTTTCCTTGACGCGGTACAAGCCTTTGACCGCGTGTGGCACAGGGGACTCCTGTACAAACTAAAGCGTGTCCTTCCAAATATTCTTTACCTAATCCTCCGCTCTTATCTAACAGAGCGGTTCTTTCGGGTCCGACAAGGATCAGATTACTCCGAATTCTGTTCTCTGGCTGCGGGAGTACCGCAGGGTAGTGTGCTCGGACCAATCCTCTACATCCTTTATACTGCAGATATTTCCACTAAACCTACCACCGTACTTGCATCCTTCGCCGATGACACAGCGGTACTATCCTCAAATTCCGATCGTGCGGTTGCAGGAACATATCTCATGTGTAGCAGATTGGTGTAGACAATGGAGAATGAAGATAAACGAAAGCAAGAGCGTCCATGTCACATTTACACTCCGAAGCAAACCTTATATTACAACAACGTTCCAATCCCCAAATCCGATTGCTTTCGCTAACCTGAGTTCCACCTAGACTCCCGACTAACGTGGAATCAACTGCACGACTGACACGACAAAACCTAAACAGACGGTATGGACTACTGCACAGACTTATAGGACGACAGTCTAAACTATCGACAAAAAACAATCTTCCAATTTAAAAAACACTACTACAACCGATTTGGACATACGGAATAGAACTGTGGGGAACCGCTAAACCTTCCCATATCCAACGTCTCCAAACCTGTCAATCTAAAGTCCTCAGATCCATTGTAAATGCTCCTAATTATGCCTCAAATGATACACTCCACAACGACCTTCAAATTCCTTATATCCAAAAATGTATTCCCTAAAAATTTACCAAGTTCCACAAAAAACTCTCCCACCATCCAAACAGTCTTGCCCAAGCCCTGTCCAAAAAACCCATCCCTACAACCCCAAAAGGCATCTCAAGAGGAAATGGCCCCGCGACCTCCTTTCTGAATAAACAGTAAAATAACATAAACAAAGTGAAGAGGGAGGATAACTATGATTATTTGCTCCACTCAATGTAAATAGTTGTACGTAAGTTCATGTATCCGCAAATTACAGGTTGTAATAAAAAAAAATAAAATAAAAAGAACTTGGAAAATATACAAATTGTATTTTTTGTATGCAATATGATTTTTTTTCTTTTCAACCATTTTGCCCTATAGATATATTGAGGGCTAGTTTTCAGCATACTATTCTCTTAAAGAGCATAAGTATTTAGTTATTAGTTGTTACATACTTATTACCTTAACATACCAGGGGAGGCTACTGGCGTGGGATTTCCGATTTCGACACAACTTTTCTTCGGGGATAGATGGAAAAATGTTAGACACGTCTTACCAATGTCTACGAGCTGAGAAAAAATATTTTAAGTAATTCAGATAAATTTTTTTTTAAATATAGATTTCTGATTTTGTTATACATGTTTTTCAGACGTATTATATATCACTCCATTCGTTTTTGTACGAACGATAAGAAAGTATATTAAATGAGATTATATATATAAAGTTACGAAAATCAAAAGTCACTTCCAGTAAAGTATTTCAAAAAATATTTTGTTTAGAAATATTTTAGAAAATTTTTTAAGGTATTTATTTTTTTTTATCTTATTACTATTCTGCTGACGCAAAATTTTTAAAAGCCATTTAGTATAAATTTTTTGGTGCTCATTGGCCGAATGGTTAAGGTTCATCACTGTAAGGTTTTTCTGGTCTCGAGTTCGAATCCAGCGGCCCCGAATTCGAATAAAAATTTTAAATTTTCTTCTTTCAAGCTATATGTTTGGATTTTTAGTCATTGTATTTTCAGAAAAATAAGTATTGGATAAACAAAAATACCGAACGTTTTATTTCATATGTCCGTTTCTGATTTATTAAGGAAAGACACATTTCTGCCATTACGTTTATTTTATTGGGCTTTCACTTCTTCTAAAGTTTACCATGATCAAACAAGTTTCAAAGTTATCACAATTTTTGTGAATTTCTAACAAAATTAGAGGCATTTGCAAAAAATTATTTTCTTATACTGTACTTAAAGAGTATCAACTTTAACCTGCTTTGTAAAAAACCTGAAAAGTATCACTCCATTCAAAATCAGTTCAAATTAGCTATCTATTGAAATGCAATATGTACATAATGATTTTATAGCAAAGTCTAATATCATAGTATTGTCTTATTCTAGTAAAATACAATCGATTGAAATATAATAAATGCATTAATGTCTAATATTTTTCGAACTAGTATCACAGCAAAAAGTTTTATGGAAATCATTGAAGCTCCGAAGCTTTCATCGTTAGGTTGAGATCAACCATCTTTTTCATTGTCATTTATTAAATAAATACACATTTTAACAAGAATTGTGTATTTAGTTTAATTGAAATCAGGTGACTTGAGAGAGTTCTTGTCTTTCCGGTCCGTGGGTGAAAAATTGGACGTTTCAAATCATTTTGGTCAAATATCCTACGTGTTATTTGTTTGAACTTTTTATCCTTCTTTTGTTCCTCATTGTTGGGCCAGAGATGTAAAACGGTGAAGCACATACCGAGCACTGAAGATGAACAAAACTGATAAAACCCCTGTTTACAAATGACCAAATTAAAATATCTTTCTACACTTAAAAGCGGTGATGGTTCTAGGAAAAATGCAATGCACCATATACGGCCAACCTTTTTCAGTAATGAGCGCATGACAGTTTTGAAAGTTTGTTTGCCTCCTTGGCCTTTTTGACGAAGGAGCTCGTCCAGTTTTTGGGCCATAGTACAATAGAGATTGCACCGGTGGGCACAAAGCTCGAGGGATTGACCGTTGTCATTTTTGACGGCACTAAAGAAACCAGGCACCGATTCGTCTCGCTGCTTCATTCGGCATGCATGTGGCTCGAACCCTTAACCGTTTCTGAACCTGCGTACTTATTGACAGAACCCCAAAAGGGGCACGCGACAAATGACTTATTACATCAATTCGTTACAGATTTGTAACAAGTAAAAACTGAACAAAATACACAAATTGATCTTTTTCGATTATTGAATAACACTAACCACTGAATAACAAGAAAACGACAGAAATTCAATTTGACATCAGCGAGGATAGTAAGGACAAAATGAACTATCAATCACATATTCATCACCCTAAAGCTAAAAGGAACCCTTTCAATTTAATACAAAACTTATCTAATGTATAGCTTTTATTTCTGGGTAATTGATTGATTTATATAAGTTCAACTCAGCACACATATTATGTACAGATTTAAGCTTATTAAGTTAATTCCATCATTGTATAAATTCATTTTCACATTTTACGTTTATTTGTATAATTTAAACAATGTTTATAAATCCCAGCCCTGAAGATGATCTCAGTAAAGATCGAAACGTAGCGATAAATAAAATGTTTTTCTAAAACTACATCACTCCAAACCGGATTTCACGATTTCTAAATAATCATGAATATTTAGTGTTTGTATAAATTAATTCCAGTTTGTTTTCTTTATTATTGTTCTTATTTTATTTATTAACATTTTTAGTTTATGGTGTTTTTCTTTTTATTTAATTTAAGTTCTTTGGAAGTTTTTTTTTTCAATTCACATTTTGTATTATTCTGCAATTTTTTTTTACCATGTATATGTTTCCATTCACCTTCCGCAGAAGGAATTTTCCATGCCGTAATGGTACTTATTTAGTAGCTGTAATTTAACTGTACATTATTGGATTATAACAAATAAGTGCTTTTATTATTATTATATATATAAAAAACGTAGATCGTACATTTGTAGATCAACTAGAGTTGATGCATGCTCAGACTTGTTTAATCTTGCCAAATTTGACCATTCGAACGGGAAATAAGAAACCCAGGTATTAGTTTCAATTAGTTTTTTGGTTTTTCTTAGATTCCACTAATAGCAAACTAATCCGATGTCACAGTTGACTGAACTGTGCTTATAAGCATGCCCCGATTTGTTCCATCTTGCAAAATTTGAACGGGAAACCAGGAACACCGACATTTATTATTTCGCAGCATATAAGTATATATGAAAGGTGCAGACGTGTTATTGTTAGTAAAATATAATTTGCAACAATAAAAGCTTTAACTTTTATTTCGGCTTTGAAAAACCTAAACAATAATTAATATATAATGCATAATAATAAGAATTTTTTTTTGCCAATTATTAATTTATACATATACCATAAGGACTTAAGTAGGTAGTTTTTAGTTGGAAAAATAAGATTTGGAATGTAATAATACAAAAATGTTGGTGACAAACACAAACTACTAAAAATAGTTGTTTTGTGGTGGGGAATAATACAGAAATTATGGAAGGGGGAAATTTGCTTGGACAAACAGTATAATAAGATATTACGATGAAACCGCTCGTAATACGACTCAGACCGAAGAAACACATGTCGTCGTTTTTAAAATATTTAATTGGTATTTTATAGGTCAATAATGAAAGGTCATCCACAAATGGAAAAGGGAAACTGGGAAATATCCAATGACGGTTGTTACACCTGGCTGCCCCTCCAGATCGTTCGAGAGAGAAGGTCCGGAAACGGTAAGCAGTAATCGTCAGCCGTCTGTCCTCGTCGTTGTGTTTCCGTCGGGACCGGAGTGCGTCAGCCAGAAATCGAATCGAACCGCTGTTGTTGTTGTTGTTGAATCGAAAAGGGTTGTTGTGCGGGCAGCCTCGCTCTGTCCCGGGGATCGAATATGCGAGGGGTGCCGGAGTGCCTTAGGCCCACACGGGGTGGCTACCTCGAGCTCTCTGGAGACCTTCTTCAACGCATTGTCATCACTGACCCAATCGAGAAGTTCTACGAAGTGGAAGATGAACCTTTTGCAAGGTACTGTGTCAACTTTGTTATGTTATATTTTGTAAATAAATCGATTAGAGAAACTTGTTGTTGAAATGGGGATGTGCGAAATCACATATTTTTGCAATTTATTGATGCTGTTTCTACTAGCTACAGTCACACTTTCTGTTTGCTCTTCAGTTCTCCAAAATTTGTTTCTAGTGTTGTTTATATTTTAATGTAAAGATTTATAATTCGTGTTATCAATCTGAACATATTGTACTTAAGTTGTGGTTCACCTTGAGCTTTAAATATTTAGCCTTACAATACTGTCCACCACTCTCACTAGGTTTACATGTACATACCAGGGACTTGTTCATCCTTTTTAGAGTTTTGAAAGAAATATCTTTCAGATATCTCATCTTCAACACTAGATACGGTTATGTTTTGATTTAGACTTCCAAAATAAAATTGTGTGCATTACACTTTTCCTCGTTGAACCCGGATTCAGCAATCTGGAAGTCATAAAGCGAGACTATACGCATCCGACTTTCTGATAAATCTTCTTTGTTATTGGACTTTCGCAATAGGCCCTTTGTTCGTTCTAGTAGTGATAATATTCGAAGCTCTGTTATTGTGTAACAGACCGTCCTGACACTATTGGACAAACGCTTCGCCATAATTGGATAAGGGGAATGTGTGCGATTGTGGTGTTTTAATGTGTAGCGGGACATGAGATAATTTAACGATTTCGAAGAGTGATTGACAGTAATTAAAATTGAAAAGCCAATTATGAGCTTGTTAAAATAAAACAAATGTGGACGAGATGTGTCCAAAAGATGCCTTTTGGAGGGAAAATAATGGACTTTTACTGCCATACCTGCCTATATTGTATTTTCTTACGAATAAATAATCGTAGATGAAACCATTCTGTCAGTGATAATTCAAAGTGCTCTGAAATATATTTTTATTGTGTATTTTATGACAGAAACATGCACAAACACATTGAATTCGTTGCATATCTTGCTTGTTTCGATGAGAAAATTTTTAGTAAGAATGTAATAATACATTTAAAAAGTGACCATGTATTTTCTAAAAACCTCAATCAAAGAAGAAAATATCAGCTATAGCTAAGGAAATGTGTTCGGAAAGCATGAAGGACTTTCTTGGGCACATTGTTTTTTTCCCCCACTCTTCTATTTATTGAACTAAATTGTATGAAATCAGACACAGTCATTAACATTTTTGCAAAGATTTATCATGAACACAGTTGAAAACTATTGAGATGCATGCACACCCAGGATTCAACCTTCACCTACTTCCACTTGCTGCAACATTCGAGCACGGGTTCGATGCTGAAGTTTATGTTCATCGAGTATCAAGAAATTCGTTAAATACCAGTAATAAACCTTTCGGTTTCTTCACTTCTCAGTGATTACCCAGATTTTACGAACCATTGTCCAGCATGTGTATCTGGTAAGAGTACTTGTTTTTCAAAAAGTTCAACCCAGGAAAGTGTTTCGAAGACCATGTCAGCTGTAGCTGACGAAATGTTCTAATCTGGCGCATGTTCAATTCAGGACATCTTGAGCACTGTGTTTATCAAGAAATTTGTGTTATCTCTAGTTTGCTGTTTTACTTTCGCTTCTCTTTACTCAACTAAATTGTAAAAGCCAGGCACAGTTACTATAATTTTTGCAAAGATATATTATAAACACTTTTTTGAAATCTGTTGAGATGCATCCACACCCAGAATTCAGTCTTCAACTACTTCCACCAAACTTTAGCAATCGAGCCCCAGTTCGATGGAGAAGTGTAAGTTGATTGGGTATCAAGAACTTGGTTACGTACATTTATTAAGTGCATGGCAAATTCCATACAAGTAAAGCCAGAAAGAAAAAAACAATTGCTAGATAAGAGTATTTTTTCAATTTTTTCAATATCCCTTCGATTAACCAGAGTTTACGAACCATTTTCCAGCATTAAAAGTATCTGGCAAGAACTTTGAACCCTATTGAGATACATCCACACCCAGCATTCAACCTTCAACTACTTCCATTAAACTTTAACAATCGAGCCCGAGTTCGATGGAGAAGATTAAATTGATTGGGTTTCAAGAAATTGGTTAAGTCAATTTGTTAAGTATGTGGCAAATGCCCATAAATGTAAAGTCAGAACAAAAAGTTAGGTAAGAGTAGTTTTCCAATTTTTTCAATATCCCTTCGATTAACCAGATTTTACGAGCCATTGTCCAACATGGCGTATTAAAAGTATCTCTACTCGTTGAGATGCATCCACGCCCAGTATTCAACCTTCAACTACTTCCACTAAACTTTAATGTAGAAATGGCTCGATGCAGATGTTTATGTTGATTGGATATCACGAAATTCTTAAATAAGAATAGCAAATCTTACTTTTTTTCAATATCTCTCTTATTACCTAAATTTTACGAACCATTATCCAGCATGGTGTATTAAATGAATGTGGTAAGAGTATTTGTTTTTCAAAAAGTTCATCCGAGGAAAGTGTTTCGTGGGACAAAGTCTGCTGTAGCTGACGAAATATTCGAATCTAACACAGGTCAAAACAACTTGAGAATTGTGCGTATCAAGAATGAAGACTGTTGAAATCTGTAATGATGCATCCACACCCTGGATTCAACCGTCAACTACTTCAAATAAGCTTTATCAATCGACCACGGGTTCGGCGGAGAAGTTTGTGTTGATTGGGTATTAAAAAATTGGTTAGGTACATTTGCTAGGTACATGACAAATGCCCCTAAATTCAAAGCCAAAAAACAGTAGTATCAAACTTTCCAATTTTTTTCAATACCCCTTCGATTAACCAGATTTTACGAACCATTATCTAGCATGGTGTGTTAAAAGAATATGACAAGAATTTAGTACTTGTTTTTCAAAAACTTATCCAAGGGTACTGTTTCATAAGACAGTGTCAGTCGAAATGTCGAATCTAGCGCATCTAACATTTTTTCCAAGATATCTCTTGAACGCTTTGTTGAAGTCGGTTGAGATGCATCTACACCCAGGATTCAACCACTAAGCTTTAACAATAGAAAAATGGTTCGATTCTTATGTTTATTTGATGTTTATGTTGATCGAATATCAAGAAATTCTTAAATAAGAATAGCAAACCTTCCAATTTCTTCCATATCTCGCTCATTGCCCAGATTTTACGAACCCTTATGTAGCATGGTGTATTAAAAGTGTCTGGTAAGAGTACTTGTTTTTCAAAAGCTGGGGTGTGACATTTTTTGACAGCCTTTCGCTTAGTGTGCTTTCACCAGTGCCTTAGTTCATTTCAATTGACTCGATCCTTTTTTAAGAATAAAAAGAACACGTTGCTGCAATTGTTTTTCGGGAGCTTCTTGGTACTGGCTGTGGGTTGCAGTATCCACCTCTTTACGGTAAAACTTCATGGGGTTCATTCATAAGCCCATGTGTGTTTTCTCAGATGCCAGCAAAGCTAGTTTAAGTGAAGGTTCTTTAATGATGAGTTAACTGTGCTTGCTTCCTCTGGACTTCGTCCATTTCTCCTGTTGTTTTTTCTGGACCCGTTCTAGATGGAGGAGGCTTATGTTTAATGTGTGGTGTTTAGTGACCGTTACTTATGTTTAATCTTGTTATCCCAATTATAGGTTCTGGACCTAATTGTCTTTCAGATCCTCCCCTGGCCAAATCATCTGTTTGTTCATTACGCATTACTTTATGCCCTATCACCTAAGATAATGTCACGATGTTATGTGTTTCCAGGTTTTGGAAATTTTGGATGCATTGATTGATTATTGACTATTTTTGACGTGGCTTTTTTCGAGCCACGCACTGGCACCTCGTCAGGTTGAAAACATGGTTTATGAGCATTGGTAGCATTTATTTTAGCATGAAAGTCTGATGTGTTACCCTAAAGAGTTTGATTGCTCATGTTTCGGACGCGCACATAATATTCCTGACCCGGTTGGAGCTATCTGTTTACCAAATACATAATTGTATTTGATCTCCTGAATTATTTTTCTCCTATGTAGCCTGTTAAAACCTAATGTTGTTTTGTATTCGTCTGTTCTCTTCGTTGTACTAATAGCTCTCTTCTTATATTTTTATTTTTAAATCACAATTTAAGGTTTTAGCAATTAAGCCCCGGTTTGATGGAGAAGTATGTGTTAATTAGTTCAATAAGAGAAGCAAACCGTCCGATTTCTTTAATATATCGATTAAATTAATGTATGAAACTCGGCCCAATAATTTAACATTTCTACGTTTTCCTAGTATATCATGAAAGCTTTCCTGAAATTTATAAAGATACGTGCACAGCAACCTTATGTTACATTTAACATTGTTACCTGACTATGAATCATTTTTACGATGATTGATGTATTATACAATTTTGAAACTTGAAACTTTCCTTACGGTATTGCTGAATAATCATCCCTTATTTGAAAAGAGTCTTTGCTTTATTAAAACTTCAAACTTCATAAGAAAATGCTCTATACGTGCCACTTGCAGTTTCATCATCCAGAAGAACAAGATTATTTCATTTATTCTTTGTACGCTAAACGGAAATATTTTAATAATAAAGTAAAATAATTCCTACCACACAGGGCGGCTTAATGTGTTAATTATTCGTTGTCAATCCACTTTTCAATACTTTCTCGATATTATTCATAATTAAAAGTCCATGGGCTATGCCGTTATTCGAAGACCGCTAGCGTGGCAATCTGCGGTCATCTCATACTGGTAAAACGGCAAGGATGTTTGGACCAAAATGATGGGCAGCTTCAGGGGTTCGTCAGTCTCCTGAACTCAAGAACAAATCTCATAATGTAAAGTTTGTGACAACTATCTTGGAATTTAGAATACCATTCAGACCGTTAGATAATTAATAATTGGTTATAATAGAAAAAGTTAATTAATTTGGGTTGATTTGATTATTTGAAAACTTCTGTTTCTTGAGACAAATTGAGCCAGCTCTGCAAGAATAAAGATTAGACCAAAAAACTCAAGTTAACCAAACAAAATACATATGCAATCGTATATTTC